TTTTGGATGTAATTGTATAAATCCAAGATGACATATTCAAATTATTTTTACTGGTAAAAAGAAAGAAATGTCTTCTGCTTTGTTCTGATCGAGTTTTAGAAAAACTACAAGAAAAGATGTATGAAATATTGCTGTGTTGCATTATATTGGCAGTAAAAATAATGTTTGTAGTTACGTATATATCTCTGCACTGATCATTCATAAAAACATGAATTTTGTTTTGAAAAGATACGTCAAGAAATTCTTTACAACAGTTAAAGTCAAAACATCCTCTCGACTAGTGATAATGGATTTAGGGAAAACACTAAAATGAAAGCTGTATAAGATGCTCTTATTTCTCACTCTAAAAATAATGTAAACGTTCAAGAAAACACAAATTTACTATGTAAATCAAGTCCGTTGTAAAAAAGAACTCACTGCTGAATAACATAATATGGACAAACTGATTCTCTTGACGTTTAAAAACTGCTAGAAAGAATTAAAAGTATGTTAAATGCGATTATTATTTACACGAAGAAAGGAAATGAATTCTGATGAGTGAAGAATTAGAGTATCTGATAGATCTTTTATTTTATACCTGTCAAAATCCATTGCTACAAGTTGAAAGATTCTTTTACTTTCACTATTGTAGAAAATTTCACAACACATCTTTAAAAAGAAATTCAGGTTTTTTATGATTTGTCCGTTCAGGAATATACGCTGTTAACTATAAAAATTATTAATTTTGCAAACCTTCCAAAAATGATTTCTGCAGAAAATCAACAATTTAGAATTGAAAATTCGATCAACGGTCAATAAACATTTGAAAATGTTTGATGCTTTGCAAACTCGATTTTATATAAAATTGAACTTATTTTAAATTTACAATATATGCAAAATATACATCACAAACATTTTTTTTTTAGCTTCAACATAATAGGACATAGCAACATTTCATATATCTTTTATTTTAGTTTTCTAAAAATTCATAAAAATAAATTAAAACAATCTTGTGATATAGTTTTTGTAGAGAGTTTGATGACACATCTTTTGAAAAAAATTCAAGGCATTATGATTTATTTTTGCTGAGATATTTTCAAAATATTCAGCGTTGCAATCATTGTGATTCACTCGGTATTAATGTACAATTTATTTATTGATAATTATACAGATAGTATTATCGTACGATTTTAATTCACATTTATTTGTATCTAATAGTCGACATAATTATTCTAAATAAAAAATTCAAAGAAATATTTTACTTGATTATGATGCAACAAATGAAAATGAATCCAAAAACAATAAAAATGTCTTTAAATGATTTATTCACATTCATGTGATAAACTCTTAACAAAGTGAAGTGTAAGAATAATATTTAAAAAAACAACACTAAAGCAATGAATTCGACAAAACCTTGTCAAATAATTAAAACCCACATTGTTAATCAATTCGATGTAAGTTTTTCAATTATTTGTCAAATAGATTAAACGACAAAAAAAACACATACTCAAACCTTTAAAAATCATTGTTATTATATAACAAACCAAATAGTGAAACCTTATTGTTAAAAAGTAAACAATACCTTCGAGCTTTTTCGTTCTAACATCAATAATTTTTCATGTCAATTGAATATTAAACATTGCAATTTAACTGACATCTATATAGTGTAGTTAATTGATCCGTTGCTATGTTATGTCTAGAGTAACAATGATGTTAATGGCACATATTGAATAATTTTTCATTCATTTTAGTTACTCTCTTCCAACAATCATGCCAGTAAAAGGTGCCGAGAAAAAAACGGTAAATATCTGCTAGAATTTTTGTTTCGTATTCAATTCGTTCTATTTTAGACTCAACCGGTTGCTGGTGGAGTACCTACCCAACGACGTCTTAGTCAACTACCTCGTCAGTCAATCATAACAGGTTTTCGGGTACGAAAAGAAAATAATTATACGTTAAGAAAACTTAATTTAAATAAAATTATATAGGATGATGACCAAGATTTTGGCAACATGCCTGATCTATCAGACGAAGTAAGTTATTGATTTTTCTTGTTTTTTTTTTTATGTTAATTAATTTTAATTAGGCACTTCGACCTGTTCGTCCAGATGATCAATTAAAACTAACCGATGCCGTATGTTGTTTTATTTTTCAACTGATATATATCTAAATTATGTTTCTGTTAGGAATTAAATGAAGAACATACACGAATTCTTACAGCACGTAATCCACAAGCTGCAGAAAATATTGTTCGATTTAGCTATAAAGTATATTATGCACTTTTAATTATAAAAAAACAACCATATTCAATTGAATAATATAGGATCGAACATTTAAACCAATTCCACAAGTTGATCAATTAGCTGTTCATTTTCAACTTGATGGTAATCTTATTCATAGAGATTCTGAAGAAGGAAAACGACAATTAGTTCGAGATATTGGAGGTTAATTAAAATCAAATAAATATATATGATTAATAATAATATTTTCTTTTTTCTTTCTTAATAGAACAAGCATTAGGAGAAGTTGAAACAACACCAACAAAAGCCGCTGATACTGAAGGAGTATTTTAAATTTAATTAAAAAAAGAATTTTTCTTTTTTCTTAACTCAATTCTCTTAAGGAGCCAACAACAAAAGAAGGTGAAGATGAAGATGAAGAAAAACCAAAAAAACCTACTGGACCTGCTGGTAAAGGAAAAAAACTTACAAATCAATTTAATTTTAGTGAACGAGCATCTCAAACATATAATAATCCGTGCCGAGTATTTAATTACAGATAAAAACAAAAAACAGAGTTTTAAATTTAGTTATTCTATCTTCTTAGGATCGTGAAACATTTGTTGAACAAACACCACGTTCAGTTTTTACTGATAATGTTTCACAATGGTCAATTTTTGATGCTTATAATGAAGATTTTGATCAACAAGTAAGATAAAACTTAAAAAACTGAAAGTTAAACAAAAAATTTTTGATTTTGTTTTAGCAAAAAGCAAAAGAAAAAGAACATAAAAAAGTTGCAGTAAAAAAGGATGACGAACGAAAAAAGAAATTTGTTGTTGCTGAACAAACAGTAAGACAAAAATTATCTTATGAAAATAAAGAAATCATTTTTTTTTATTTTGTATTATTAAATAGGGTGATGATATGGCTAAATTAGCTCGATCAAAATCAGCTAGTATATCGCTTAAAATACTTGAACGAATGATTAATCAAAATACATTTGATGATATTGCACAAGGTTAATTTTTATTAATGAAAATTTAAAAACAAAAAGAAGAATTCTTTTTTTATATAGATTTTAAATATTGGGAAGATGCAGCTGATGAATATCGTGAACAAGAAGGTAGTCTTTTACCATTATGGATTTTTCAATATGATTTAACAAAAAAACTTGCTTGTACAAATTTGGCTTGGAATACACGTTATACAGATTTATTTGCTGTTTCATTTGGTTCATGTATGTTTTTTATTTTATTATTTAAGATAAAATCTTAATATAATTTATTTTTGTGTCATAGATGATTTTCTTAAACAAAGTCGTGGAATGTTTTTAATTTATTCATTAAAAAATCCAAGTTTTCCAGAAAATATTTTTATAACTGATACTGGTGTTATGTGTTTGGATTTTCATCCAAATCATCCGAATTTACTTGCTTGTGGTAAATTTAGAATATTATTTTCTAGAGATTATTTATTAAATAATTTTAATATATAGGATTTTATGATGGTTCAGTTGCTGTTTATAATATAGCTGATGAATATAAACGACCAAAATATCAAAGTACAGCACGTAATGGTAAACATACAGATCCTGTTTGGCAAGTACGTTGGCAAAAAGATGATTTGGATGGAAATCTTAATTTCTATTCGATATCATCTGATGGTCGTATTGTATGTTGGACTTTAGTTAAAGTAAATTTCATTTAGCAAAAAAAAAAAGATTTATTCCATTGTAAAAATTATTTTTTTTTTCTTTTCGTGACCAGAGTGATTTAATGTATATCGATGTTGTTCAACTAAAATTAGAAAAACCAGCAACTGAACCTGATGAAGGAATTCCATTAGCAACACTTGGTAAAAATATTTTTTCCTAAGAAAAATAAAAAAAACATCAATGTTTTGTTTTTTTTTTCTTTTAAAAATAAAAGGATGTGGAACATGTTTTGATTTTAATAAACAACAAGATTATTTATTTATTGCTGGTACAGAAGAAGGAAAAATTCATAAATGTTCAAAATCATATAATAATCAATTTTTGGATACATTTGATGCACATCATATGGCTGTTTATGCTGTACGTTGGAATACATTTCATCCAAAAATCTTTATTAGTTGTTCAGCTGATTGGACTGTTAAAATTTGGGATATTAATTTTAAGTAAAAAAAAAAAAAAACTTCTCATAATTTTTATTTAATATTCAATTGTCAATTTGTTTTTTTTTTCTTTTATCTAGAGATCCATTATTTGTCTATGATCTTGGTAGTGCAGTTGGTGATGTTACATGGGCACCTTATTCATCAACAGTATTTGCTGCATGTACAGCTGATGGAAAAGTTTATGTATTCGATTTAAATGTTAATAAATATGAACCACTTTGTGAACAAATAGTTGTACAAAAAAAACGTACAAAATTAACACATATTGTATTCAATCAAAATTTTCCAATAATACTTGTTGGTGATGATCGTGGAAATATAACATCATTAAAACTTTCACCAAATTTACGTAAAAAACCAAAAGTTAAGAAAGGTCAAGAAGCACCAGAAGGACCCGAAGCTGAAAATGCCAAATTAGATAAAATTCTTGCATTAATTCGAGATCCTGATGATACAAAAAATAAATCTATATCAGCACAACAAACAAGTACAGTACCAGCAACTACCAGTTAAATAAATTAGTCTTTTATTAATCTGAATTTTTTTTTTATAAAAAGAATTTCTCACTTTATCTTTTTTTTTTCCTTTTATTAAAAAATATAATGATCTGCACTTTCTTTTATCTATATTTCCGATTGAATAATGAATTCTACACATAAAAAAAATGATGTAAGTTTTCTAATATATAACATTTATCAGTTGAAAAAAAAAATAAAAACTTTTATTGTTTCATATAGGATATTGTAAGTTCTATTAAGTTAATTGTTAATTTTAAAAAATTATTATCTAGATCCGTTTGGATGATATATCAACAACAAAATATTATGATGAACATGATCATAATGATAAGAGTGTTTGTTTTCATATTGTTTAATGAAAATATAAAGAGAGAATTTCATATTTCTAGCGAACAAAATTTTCATTATCTCAAGAATCAATTGATCCTGATGAAGAATTAACACAAATTTTAACAACAGAAAATCCATATGGATCTAAAAGTTTAGTTATGTTTAGTAATCGTGTACGTGTTTGTTGGATATAATTGATATATAAGATTTAAATATACTTAATTTTAAAATAGGATAAACAATTTGTACCATTAGGAAATATGGAACAGCTTATAATACATTATTCATATGAAGGAAATCTTATACCGATTGATTCTGATGAAGCTAAAATTTATTTACAAAAAGAAAAATTTCGTTTGTATTAGAAATAAGAAAAAAGAAATATAAATAAAAAATTCTATGTAGATAAAACACGAATTCTTCCAACAGCATTACTTGATATTTATAAAACTAAGGACAAATCAACAATAGAAATCAAACAATCGAATGAAAATTTCGAATGTAATTAAAAAAAAAATAAAAAAAGGACGTGAGCGGTGCATAAGACCATAAATCGACCCACTAAGAATTTCTACATAAAAACTACTTAATCATTGATACAAAGTTGTATCGCGTTATTAAGAATCATTATATGATACCCTTGAAACTCAGAATAAAATGAGCTTTACTCATTGCCTGAAATAGATCTATTAGACTGTACTAGCTAATGTTATTTGAGGATGCATAAAACTACACAAATTTATATATGAATCATCAAAACACCACGTCTCTTTGAAAAATTTCTTTAGATCATCTTTCAGTCATATTGTGCACTAATATGTATGGCGATGTGGTTGCCGCTGACAATACAGTCGATCTTTCTCTCTGATTTTTGACTAAAAAATGCTTTCGTTTATATACCAATCGATAGCAGTTTTGAAGTTCTACAACATGAAACTATCGTGTGGTAATGAATTTTACGAGAAAAAATATTGAATATATGTACACAATGTTTGTGGGAACCAAAAATGGCACGTTTTGATTAGAATAACTTGACTTTTACACAGAAAAATGACGTATTTAGAATCAGAACAAAAATCCGAGTCGATCTATAAATTTTTTCAAAAATTTTGATAACCTTCATTTTTGGCGAAAAATTCGACCCTGATTTCCTGCGGGACTCTGTTAAAAAAAATGAATTCAACTGAAACATCGTTTTTATCATTTCATGACTTTTCTTCTGAGTTTTATCTAAGTTTTGAAAGTTACAACTCGTTTCCCATAGTCGATTCCACGTTTTGATTGAATTCATTTTTCGATAGATTCTCGCGGGTGATCACAACTGAAGTTTTTGACGAAAATGACAGTTGTCAAAAATTTTTGATACATATATAGATCGATAGACTCATTTTTTTTTTGTTCTGATTCCAAATCTGTCATTTTTGTTATCAACAGTCAAGTTATTCTAATTAAAATGAACCAGATGTGAGTCAAAGAGTTCTATGTTTTTGGTATCCGAAAACATTGTGTAAATATATTCAATATCTTTCCCTAAAACTCATTACCATACAATAGTTCCATTTTGTAGAACTTTAAAATATCTATCAATTGATATATAAACAATAGTGTTTTAACTTGGAAATAAGAGAGAAAGATCAACCACACTGTCAAGCAACAACCACTCCGCCATCCATATTGGAGCACTATATAATACAACATGGCTAAGAGATGATTTAAAATAATTTCTCAAAGAGACGTGGTGTATTGATGGTTCATATATAGATTTGTACAGTTTTATGCGATCTCAAATAACAAGCTAGTGTAGTCTAATGGATCGATTTCAGCCAATGAGTAAAACTCATTTTATTATGAATTTCATGGGTATCATATAATGACCCATAACGATTCGGCACAACTTTTTATCCATGAATGAGCAGCTTTTCTATAGAAATTTCTAATGAGCCAATTAGTGGTCTTATGCGTCGTCCTCGTCTTTTATTTTATTAAAACTAAGAATATGTATTTTGTAATAATTTTTTTTGTTTTCAAGCTGTCCAACCAACAGTTGATGAAGATGAACAACAAACTATTACAAATGAAATAAGCGAACAAAGTGAACTCAATGAAACGACTGATGATTTAGTAAATTTTTAATATATAAAACAAAATCAAGATTGATTTTATATTTTAGAAATCAATTTCACAAGCTCCAACTTCATCATTAATGGAAAAACCTAAGAAAATACTTAATCGTTTTAATTTTTGTGAACAAGGCATACAAACATATTTAATACCAAAAAAAGTTTATTGTTTTTTAATTTATGAAATAAAATAAATATTCATATAGGATATTACAACTCAAACTGATCCAATAATAAATAAAAAATTTGTTGGTCTAGCAAATCAACGAATTATTTATCAAGAATATACAATTGATTATGAAAAACAAGTACATAAAATAGTTTTATTCAATAAAATAGGATAGTTTTCTTTTAGCAAAAAAATAAAAATAAACGAAAACAAAGAATGAATTATGGATCAAATAAAAATATACAAGAAAAAAAAATTATTAAAACTGATCGTCTTAAACCAGAAGTATAATTAGATAATTCTATATAGTACTATTTTTCGGTATTAATTTCTTTCTAAGACAATTCTTAAACGTCATCAAGTTCAAATCTTAAAAGCAATTGAACGTGTTTTAAATCAAAATCGATATCAAGAATTAATTTACAGTAAAATAATACATATATATATATATGAATGAATTGTAACTTCTTGGTACGATTAAAATTTTTAGCTGAATTCAAGTAGTAACTTTAAGTTTCGTCGATTGACTTCAATAATTTTTTATATGAGATAAATCATTCGTTAGCGAGATGATTTCGTAAAATTAAAATACATGTATTTCAAGATCATGAATTTTTCTAGAGCTAATGTTTATATGTTACAATTATGTTAAATTATTCCAGATACCCTGAAAAAACCAACGCTAGAGAAGTTATCAGAAAAAACCAACGTTATAAAAGATATCGACTTTCAATTCATACTCTTTTTGTTTAAAAATAAACTCCGAATTGAGGCAGCATTTTTGGAAATTATACAGTATATTCTGTAGACAACTCCTAAGGTTACAAAATCTCTATCCGAGGTTTTTTCTGAACATGCATAGATTTTTCAAAACAACCAATTTACTTTTCGTTAGCGACATACTGAAGTAGGGAAAAAATGCTCTTCTGACCGGATAAGAGGTTCAAAACTAATTCCAAAGGCTACAATCTCATACCCGTATCGAACTTCAGCTCTCTGGCTCATATCATTGCTGACTTCTAGGGATCACACTGTGAAAAAATCGTATTCTATAGACGGATGCAATAAGAAAAAGAAGTTTTCTGAAAATCCAAAAAAAGATAACGAATAAAGTCCATTTCGTAGAGCTTGAAATGTTCTGTCGAATCATATATCTTTCTCTTTTCATGTCTATGCATCCGAAAACTGTATGATAGACAGTTTTTCGTTTTCATGTAGAATGACATTATTTTTCGATTTTCTTCATTAGCACATAAAATAAAGAAAAATGAAGTTGTTTGGAAGGAAGTCCATTTTTCAGAAAAAAAAACTAATCAAAAAGCTTCTATTGAATATCTTTCCTGTTTGATGGAAAAACGTGAATTTTTTTTCTAAAATTTCGACTCTTATCGATTTTGTAGAACGACAATTTGAATATTTCATCGTGAATAAATTTAAGTTATCTATTTCTTATCGTTTTCAAGAAATTGACATCATATGATAAAATATCCAATCATATTTCTAATACAGTATTTGAACTGAGAGTGAGTCCAAATAGATAGAAATTATTTTATACGATTGCATCCGTTTCATTGTGGAAAGTCATCCTACTTTTATTCTGAACATAGATTTTAGAATTAAAAAGCACTTTTACCACATAGAGTTTGAGTACTCTGCTATAGTCTGTAGATAAATATTTTTAATATGATTTTTGAAAGAATAGTGATTTGAGATGCATTTAAGTTTTATATCATTGAACTCGTTGCATTTTCTGAAAGTTACTCTATTTTCGTTGCAAATATCGATTCTTGATTAATAAGCAGTTTTATTATATAGAATTTCAGCGAGCTATAATTAGTCGTACCAGTAAATAACCCAAGTCAATGATTCCAAGCTCTAGAAACAATCAGATTGCACGGAAACCGGCCGGAAAAATCATCGAATCTGACAGAAAAACATCGGAAATCGATGGAACTTTGAAGCAATATTGCGGACCGAAAAGTCTTCGGAATTTTTCCAATGATTTCCATCTGTTTCCTATCAAAAATCACCGGAAATATTCGAATACTTTCCGATTCAGAACATTACTTTCAAGTTCTATCGATTTCCGGTGTCTTTCTGCCGGAATTAGTATATACTTCTTAATCTAACAGCGCTTCATAGGATACGCATACACTGAAATAAGCCGTATCTCGATGAATATACAGAAAAGTGTTGGGAACTTTTGCTAATTATATAACATAGACGTAGAACATAATAAAATATACTACTCAGAAATTCTTTAGATCTACTTTCAAATTTTCGCATCAATTGTACCGATAAGTTGCAATTTAGTCATGCATATAGATATGTAAATACATTTACATGGCAAACCCTTTTCTCTTTATATAGACTTCAAGTATTTTGAAGATAAAACAGATGAAGTACGTGATCCAATGGGTACATTATTTCCATTATGGAAATTTCCACCATCATTTGCTAATCGATCTGTTACTGCATTAACATGGAATCCAGCTTATTCAGATATGTTAATAATTGGATATGGACTTTGTAAGATTTTTCTATATAAAACAACATATATATATTTTTCTTGTTTCATTATATGCATTTTAAGATGATCGAGCTGAACGAATACAAGGTACAATTGCTGTATTTACATTAAACAATAATCATCCAGATACTTTAATTCATACTGAAAGTACTGTATTATCTATTGATTGTTTATCTTCAAAACCGTAAATAATTTTTTCTTATTTGATTTTTTTTGTTTTTTTTTACGATTGTTATAGATATCTTATATGTGTGGGATTAATGGATGGTGATGTGATTGTTTATGATATATCAATTCCATCTGGTAAAGCTGTTTTTACAAATACATCTTACATGTGTAAACATTATGGATGTGTTTGGCAAGTATTAAATTAAAGTATTTTGTTTTTCGTAGAAATTAATTTATATTTAATAAGGTTCGATGGTGTAATTTATCTACTAATCATCAACCTCGATTTTTTTCGATTGGTTCTGATGGAAAAGTAATGCGATGGACATGTATTAAAGGTGAATTAAGACAAGTACTTTTATTTGATTTACCAAGTGCAACAAAACCTACACGACTTGATGATGGCACTCTTCTATCGTTGCCAGGTATTCTAAGAAAAAGAATTTGATTTTTGATATTAATAATAATATATAGGTCCGGCAATAGCACTTGATTTTCATCGTAATCGAAAAGATATATTTCTTGTTGGTACAGAAGATGGTAAGATCTATAAAGCATCGACTAGTGATCCTGGAATTATTGATATGACATTTGATGCTCATGATTTTGCTGTTTATTCTATTCAATGGAGGTTTTGATGTTTTTTTTTTCAATATTTATTATTTATCTTCTCTGATTTATTTTCTATAGTCCTTTTCATCCGAATATTTTTGCTTCCTGTTCTGCTGATGGTACAGTAAAAATATGGCATGAAAAAATTACGTTTGTATTGGTTTTTTTTTAAATAAATCCATTAGACAAATTTTCAGTATTATTTTAGTGAATGTTTAATGAGATTTGATTTATGTACAAGTTTACAAGATATTGCTTGGTCACCTTATACATCTACTATGTTTACTATAGCTGGAGCAGATGGCAAAGTTTATATATTTGATATTCATTCAAATAAACTAGAACCAATTTGTGAACAACTATTAGCAAATGAATCAGGAAAAACATGTACAAAAATTGCTTTTAATCCTATTCATCCAATTCTATTAGTTGGTGATCAAACGTAAGTTTTAGAATAAATATCACTTGATTACGTTATATTTGACATTTATGTTCACAAGAGAACTACTCCAACTGCCGCCCGCCGCTTGAGTTCATATTAGACTTACAGGTAGGTTTCAATGAAAATAGCAAAAACCTAATCGAGTTCATTCCCTATGAGCCTTTGTCATCAAATTATGACCGGTTTTGTGGGTAGTTCCTAAAACATCAAATGACAGAATTTCAATCTAAAATTGTGCCTACAGATAGATCTAATGACTCTTAGAACATCCTAAAAGTTTTTACCGAAAAGAATCTTCCTTCGTCAAGATATTGAATTTCCAACAATATCCCTTTGTCACAAAAATCGATTTGATTTGAAAATTTAATAATTCAACGAAGGAACATTCTTTTCGAGTGAAACTTTCTGAATATTCTAAGTGTGATTGGATCTATCTATAGACAAAATTTTAGATTAAGATTTTGTCATTTGATTTTTTAGGAACTATCCACTAAACCAGTCATAACTCGACGCTTAAAGCTAATAGGAGCGAACTTTTGTAGGTTTTTGCTATTCTCATTGAGACTTGTATGTGAGTCCAATATGAAGTCAAATGGTGAGTGTCACTTGTAGTAGTTCCTTTGCCAGTTTCCTGTATTTATGGAAAACTTCGAATATTTCTTATTTTGACATAGATAGAGCATGAATTGTTCTATCGAACTATACAGTATCCATTTTATTTATTTTGTATCTCGTCCGAAAATTCGATAAACTCCGAGAAATGGTGAAATGAAACTTTGGTGTGCTCACATTTCATTGAAATTGAATTCGTTAAACATGAAAATTACTTTAGATGAAAGAGATTCATCAAACTAGAACGTGTAGAAAATATGAAACAAGACATAGTTGAAATTAAGAAGAAAATTAAGGAATAAATCGAGACGGTAACAGCAGAAACATCAGCCTTCAAGTCTGCTGCTGTCCTCTTGGAATAAACCCAATGAAGAATATAGTTCGATAGAGAAATGAACGATCGATTATTCTATATATGAATAAAAATTTCCATTATTCCAGTGATTTTAGCTATCAAAAAAATGAACCGCGAAGCGATCCTAAAATCGCAATGCAATTTTTGACTGCTTTTCGAAATTTATCCAATTTTTTGTACAAGACATAAAACAAATCAAATAAAAAATATATGATTCGATAGAGTAATTGATGCTCTGTCCAACAATGTCCCAATAAGAAACCTCTGAGGTTTTGTATAAGTACATTAAACTGAACAAAACTATCAAAAATAATGTAATCATGCAATATTCTTATTAATCATTATTATTATTAACAGATGAGTCGAAAGTTTTGAGACAAAATGCTTGGTTATTTTTGACTCACTTGAAAGTATTTCGGAGGTGTCAAAGGCTATGAGTTATGGTTAGAAAGAAATTTTTCTCGAAAACAATGAGATGATCTATTGAACGACCTAAAAAGTAATTCGTACGAAAAATTTCTCCGAACACTTTTGTACTTTCATTATTGCAGCTCGAAATTAAATGTTGATACCTTTATCAATATATCAACTTATATAGAGCACAAACTAACTTACAAAATATACCATTGGAGATTTTTTGTTTTCCCACAGGTCACCTCCATTTTCATCGACAGTTGTTTTATGTTGACAGAAGCCCTTGATAAATGTTTGTAGTCACACTTAGGTAAAAGCCACAGCTTACTTCAATATAAAATTTTTTCAAGAAGTATCCACTCAATAAAACAATCGACTTCAATATTTTTTGGCACATTCGGAACAGAACGTATAGGGATTAGAAAAAACCTATCGGTTCATCATTCAATCTAATCTTTTGCGACTTTGAAAAATTCCTTCACTACTCTCAAACTTTGACTTTTCGGCAACACTTTTAAGAGACCCAAAAATAAACAAATATTTTGTCTCAAAACTTTTTGCCCATCGTCTATTTTTCTTTGCTTTATTTTTATTAGTGGTTGGACTATTTGTCTTAAACTTTCACCGAATCTTCGAAAGAAAGCAAAAGTATATTTTTTTGTTTGTAATGTTTTAAATATAATAGTTTTGCTTTTAAAGATTCGAAAAGGCATTGAATTTGCAGATAATTATGAACGTGAATTTGATAAACTTGCACAAGAATTATCTCGAACAGTAGCTGGAGATTCAATGAATGATATTCTTATTGATCAAACGAATGATATTGAAGATTAAATTTTTTTTTTCTTTTGTTTGTTCTTTTTGTTTTATGTTGAACTATTTTATTTAATTTCAAATTCTTCGATATCCATAATAAGTCGAGCGAGACTACCAAGTATTAAATAAAATCTTTCAAGTGTATTTGAAACTAAATTTCCAAGATAAATTGTACTTTTATGTATTGGCATGCAATGTATATAATTAAGAAATATTTCAAAATTTTCTTGAATTTGTTTATATAATATTTGAAGAGTATTTAAAGGTGAATTACTTAACATATATTCATTTATAATTAAGAGAATTTTTTCTTGAATATTATCTAATTCATATGAAAGATTTTCTTTATATTTAAGAATAAGATTATCATTAATTTGAATAGATAATTCTCCACGTGTTTGTCTTAATGCATGAACACGATAGAGTGTTCGTTGAAGTAAAAAACAAGTTGATTGTAAATTTTTTTGTATTAATCGAAGTTCATTACATAAATCATATGAAAATGTACATTGATATTGATCTTTTTTTTCAATATCAAATAAATTAATATTATCATTTGTAAGATTTTTTTGTAATTGATATATAAGTATACTTGTTTTTGTTAGACAAAGAAGATTTTCTGTTTGTCGAAAAAAAATTTTCAATATTGAATTCATTTTATTATCGAAATATGAACAAATCAAAAAAACAACAAGCAATAAGAAAAAAAAATAAAGAATATCAGTCAAATTTTTTTTTCTTTATTGAACATGGCGCATTAGAAAATAAGTCAACGATTAAATATATACCTGACCATTCAAATAATAGTTAACAGTAAATCGATGATAAATCAATGAAGTATATTTCTCGAATATGTTGATTCGACAATGGACAAAATTATTCAAATAATAAAATATCCAATGACATTGATCAAATATGAAAATTGTTATAGTTTTGATTTATTCTGATATATTCTATTATTTAGAATAGATTATCCAAAGTCGTTTGATGATATATAATCAATTGTTCAACATATAGATTTAGCGAGTTCCATTGTTTCACCTGCGTTTAAATCTTGAATTATTATCTGAATAAGAGGGATGAAAGTTTAATCGATGAAACAATTCTAAGAAAGAAAAAGTGCACTCTATTCGAAAAGATATACTTCCATATAATAGTAACAAAGGTTTATTGAAATAAATCAGCTTTCATCTTTTTCTCATATATTTAACATAAAGATGCTTTTTCAATTGATTTGTCAATACTCAATGAATATTTCCTAAGTAAAATGAATAAAAAAGATTTCTTTATTATCAAGTTGATATTTGCAAGCTTTTTTTTTTCTCAATAATACTACTAGCATAAAATATATTCGTCGAAGATTGAAAAATAAATCTTTGTCTATTTATTCGAGACGAATCATCAACTGTGATTATATATAAATAAAAAACTAATAAAAGTAAAATAATTTTCCGTTGTAATATCGTTGTCGAATTGATATTGAAATATTATTTTCTGATTAGAATTATGAAATATTCAAGTTGATATATTAATTTTGGTGATTGTCGAACAAATTGGATGATAAAATAATCTAATTCAAATATTATTTTATAAATTTCTATATCAATATATTAAGATTGTAATTGAGATATTATTCTATATGATGAAAATAAAAAGAATTATTTTCCCATGAAATAAATAAAACAATTTAAATATTTATCTCAATATAATAGTGTTCTACAAATAATTTATTCGAATAATCTTCATTATTTTAAACTAATTATGAAAATCTTCTTAAAATGGATAAAATTTATTTATAATTAGGTTCAATTGAACGTAGAGATTATTTATCATATGAATAAGATAAATATGATTATTGTTCTGATAAATATAATTGAAGTTTAATTTGTAATGATGATCATTTCAACTAAACGGGCATGAGAAGAAAAAAAGAACGATCGAACAAATTCTAAATAAAACGTTTTTTTTTAAATTTCAATGCTTGTTGAAGAAATATTGATCGTCAATTAATATAATTGATAGAAAATATTTCTTAGAATTTAGAATTTCCTAATTGAATCAATGAAATAAAATCAAACTTCGACAAAAGAAGAGATTTGTTTTTTTTTCAATAAAATACATAGTTTTTCAACGGTATTTCTCATTCATTCTAACAAATCCTACTCTATCAAATGACTTCGAAGATTTGTTTTGTTTTTTAAAGTAAATTGTTAATGTTCATCTGGAGTTACTTTGAATAGATGTTGATATTGACTCGAAGGAAAATTTTTCATAGTATAATAAATCATATGCACACCGAATCGTTTTCTATACTTAAATAAATCAGTTGAAATTCTATCTAAGTTTTATATTGATTTTGA